CTTATATTTCACAAGCATTAGAGTCTGTGCTTCCCAATCTAAGCCAATGTTGGATATTTCCCAGGATGCAGTAATAAGGGTTTTTGGAAAAGGGAGTCTGTAGCTCTGCATATGTTGCTTGTGAAACAAGTATTTGTGAGTAGGGGCTTCTGCTGAATATGGCTCCTTTCTAGGGCACTATCACACTTTGTTCTTTCTGTAATCGTGGTTTGGTATGTAGATAGAAATAAAAATCAATCTTTAGAAGCAAATTTATAAATTAATTCACTGCATTCATAGACTCAGAGGCTTGTCTGTGAGAAGGAATATGAGTGTCCTCTCCTTCCTTCCCTACCCCTCCTCCCACCACTGGCATAATGCCTGCCTGTCATTTGTATGCTTCCTTCCCTATTATTACTGCTTATTCATTTTACATCATTAATGTTTAAAGACGATTGCAGTTATTCACTGAAAAGGGCAACACTTACCACCAACCATGCATAGGTGAACTCAGATGAAATTTCTGAGGAGCTATTTTGAAAGCATGGTATTTCCAGAGTCTGATTTATCTCTATTTCTATTGTATGGTTGCTTTTCCACTCATCTGGTGTAACTGTAACAAAACATAAGGTAGAAAATATATGAATCTCTGATTGGTTTGTCAAGTGTTTTTATCAAACAGACAAAAACGGTTTTAGTACAGGGATTCATCTATCCTCAGGGTACACCTATGAAGCAGAGAGGTGTACCCTCATTGTATAAGTGGCTAAACGGAGTCACTGAGGAGCACAGAATTGTTGCTAAACACTGAAAAATTACAAGGAAATGACCCTAACAGAATCAAACTCATCATTTGGCGTGTTCCTCTGCTTTAGCCCCAAATTGGTGCTTTAATCTTCAAGTTCCATTTCCTTGATCAGATAGAATATAAAACTTCATAACCTAGCCTAATTGTCTTTTTATTTTGTTGGACTTTATTTTTTAGAGTAACTACTAAAATTAGGTTCACAGCAAAATTGAGCAGAAAGTACAAAGTTCCCAGTATATCTGCTTCCTCTACCCACCCACAACCTCCCCAACGGTGGATATCCTGTTTCACAGCCGTACATTTGTTAAAATTAATGAACCCACACTGGCACGTCATTATCACCCAAAGTTCATAGTTTACATTAGGGTTTACTCTTAATTTTATACATTCTATGGGTTTGGACAAATGTATAATGACATGTATCCACCATTATAGTATCATACATAATAGTTTCGCTGCCCTGAAAAGCTGATGTTTTTACAGTCTTCATATCTAATAGTCTTCTCAGAGCTTATAAACATTCCTCCCACAAAGGAATTACACAAAAATGCATAAGGAAACTTTGAGGAAGCAGTGTTAATTATTTTCATTTTTAAGGTAATAGAAGATAAATATCCATTTTGTAATCTCTCCTATTGGGAAAGTTTTATATACATACATATAAATTTGTGACTGAACTATAACATCAAAAAAATTTATAAATAAAGGTAACTCTATCATCCAAATATCCTAAAAATCTTATATTCTTTTTTCTATATCTATTCAAATCTTGTTTGCATACATGCACGTTTTTCTCACAGTCTGCAATCTTATTTACCAATGAATGTTATGTATATTGTTACTTTAAAATGTTTTGTGTGATTCTTGAACTATTGGTGATTTAAATTTATGGGGGCTTCATGTCATTTTATCATATGTACTAATCATCATTCATTTAGTCATTTCCAATTATTGAATCATTATGCTCTTTCAGTTTGGATTTTTTACTTTATTTTAAACCATTACATGCTATATAGCAAGGATCATCCTTATGCTAATAGCTTTCTTCTGACCATTCGGCTACTTAAGATAAATTCTCAGAAGTATAATTAATGGATCATTGAGTATGAACATTTTTATTGCTACTAACATTATGTGTGTGTATATATACATATAAAACATATATATGTTATATATATTATATATTAGTCCATCAAAATAAAAAGAAAAGGGTAGGTTATGAAGTTTTATAGTCTATCTGATCAAGGAAAAGGAAACTGAAGATTAAAGCATCAATTTAGGGCTAAAAATATTATATATAAATATATGCTATATAACGGTATACATTTTTAATGGCATGTTTCTCAGTTTATAAATTTTATATCTAGCCTTTAGATCTTTGTTATATTTTAATCTCTTATCAATATCATCTAGCTTCTTTACTGGTAACTCTTTCCTCCTCCTTTTCCTAATTAAAACCAGATCCCCACAGCATTTCTTGCACTCTAATTCCTCAAGTTCTGGAGGTGGGATCAGTGTTTTCTTTGCTCTCCACTGCTCTTTCCAAATAGTACTCCAAGCCCATAATTGAAAAAAAGAACCCTGTCCCATAAGGGGGAAAAAATCACTTAGCTATCACAGCACTTCCAGATGGAGTTGTTTGTATACCATCTCTACTATCATATTTTTTTTGCCATATTTGCATATGATCATTACTACTATTTAATTTTATTCTTAAATTATTGTAATTTTTTACATATATATATATTTCTTTAAAATATACTGAATATCTCTGAAGTCCATGCCATCCAAATGTTAGTTATATTTTAATAAACATCAATCAAATACATAAGTATTATATTTTTGTAAACTTTGTCCCGAATCTGGGAAGCTGGCAGTATAAGTCGCATTACTTTTTGAATATACCAGAAACTCTCTATAAAAACAAAGAAGATAAATAGAGTAACGAAACTAAAACTACATAGACCATATCTACAAGAACACTAAATAATAACACATCCCTCTTAATTAGTGGGGAAAAATCCACTGAACCACTGTGTTATCAGCAACTGTGCAGAAAGAAACAGAGGAAGGTCAACTGGGCTTGTGATGGATCTTAGAACTAGAGAACCCACACCACCTCCCTCTGTCTAGTAACAGGTAATCACTGGAAAGATAGGTAGATTAATCCAAGGATACAAGAATAGTAGCTGAAATGGAGAAGAGAGTTTGCAGACACCAAATCACCAGTGTCTTCAAGAAAAATAAGAAAAAGGTTGTCAGTGCTGGAGCAGAAAGGACTTCTCAGGACACATGCCACGGGGAGAAAAAACTGCTGGACATAGAATCCAATAAAACAGGACAGGTCCAATAAGAGAAATCAAAGAGGCAATTTAGGTAAACGTGAGGGATAGAAGCAAAGGAAATATACTCAGAAAGTACAATGGTAAAAAACTCATCTTTAAAATAACAGAAGAGGTGACTTTAGGGATACTGAACACTCTAGAAAAGCTAGCCTGGCTCACTCTTCTGTGATAAGAATGCATTTAACCTAAACATGAGTAACAGAAAGGGAATGAGATAGAACAACCTATAAAGATACCAGAAGCAAAAAGAGAGCAGAGAACAAAATAACGTTCCTACAACAACGAGAGCATATTATCAAGACATGACAACAAAGTAAATAAAAACTATAGCCAAATTATTCAAAATGAGCTAAAAGAAATAAAATGATGTAAATTGTGCACAATTTTGGAAAGTTCCCAATGAGTCCCATGGAAGAAAAAAGCTTACAAAGCATAGGTAACGAAATTCAAGAAAGGGTTAGAAATAATAATTTTTTAAAAAATCACTCCAGAAATTAAGACAAAATTAGAACAAAACCAGAAACATAGAAAAACAAAAGCTAATTCATTAAAGTTCATTTTCAAAATAGAATGAGGGAGATTTTGAAATAAATAAAGCAATATGTAATTATAAAAAAAGAAAAAACTAATAAAAGAGATTCAAAGGAAATGATATGCAAAGAAGATAAAAATATATGTACAATAGAAAACGTTAAAGAAAAAAGATGAAAGCAATGGAACAGAACAAATATTAAAAACTATAATTCAAGAAAAATATAATAAAATTTAAAATGACTAGAAAATGCACATTAAATGATTATACTGCAAAATTGGAAAATAGGCCCAGAATGGACAACTTTAAGTATGTTTGTATAAAAGTATCGAGCAAAGTCAAACATGGGGAAAGAAAATCTGATTGTTATTAGCTTTTTGATAGCAGTCCTATGCCAGAAAACAGTAGAGTAACATAGTTAATCTACTCAGGAAAGAAAATGTGAGCCAAAGATTTTATATTCAGCAAAATTAAATTTTTAAAATAAAGACTACAGAAAAATGTTAGAGTTATGCAAGAACTCAGAGAATATTGCTGCTATGAGCATTTCCTGAGGATTCTCCAACAGAATACATTTCAGACTGGAGATGCATTTACATAAAGGTTAGTAAATGTTGATTATGTATTTATCTTTAGCACTAAGAACATGTAATTGTTATAACAAAGGGAATAGTAATGAATATATGTTTTTAAATAAAGATACGCTATAAATATCAAAATGTGGGGTGTAGGAATGAAGGACTTCTGGTTATGGGGGCATAAGAAGGTCAGTAAAAACAGACAAGTACAAAACTGGGGAAATGTGTTTAAAAAAACAACAACAATTTTAGGACCTTGGAAATTGACTAAAGGTAGTCATTAAATTGCAAAGCATTTCTTACTGAAAAATCACTAGAGCTTTAGTAAAAACAGCAGGAGACTTCAATCTTTTTGCCTCGGCTCCATCCATTCCCTTCTCCAACTTGGTCATTAAGAAATGTAGTTTCAGCCACATGGAGCTGGTTGCAAAAACCACCAGCTTTTTTTCCACAATGGGCAGACTTAAATTAGGTCTAGGGGTAGAAACCTTTCACCTTTTCCCGTAACAGGGGCAAACTTGGTAGGTGCCAAAAACCTGAAGCTTGGTTAGTTGGAGTTTGTATTACCATTTGAGTGAGTGGCTGCCATGATTCGAATGCTTCTCCCCTCTGAAATTTGGTTGCCATTGTGGCAGTATTAGAAGGTGAAACCTTTGGGAGGTGATAGGGCAGAGCTCTCATGAGTGGCATTAATGTCATTATAAAAGGGCGAGTTGATTCACCTTTGTTTCTTGCCCTTCTGCCTTCCACCATGTGAGGATGTGGCATTTCTCCCCTCCAGAGGATTTAGCAAGTGGGACCTCACCAGATGTCAATGGCTTGATCTTGGACATTCTCAACCTCCAGAACTGTGAGTAAATAAACGTCTATCCTTTCTAAAGTATCAGTCTGTGGTATTCTGTTAGAGCAGCACAAAACAAAGACAGTGGTAGGCCAGAAGGACCTTTAGCATGGAGATCCTGGAAACTAGAGTCATGGAATGGCTAAGATAAGGGCTTCATAGATTGTACCCTCACTAGAAAACTGCACACTGAGTGGGGGAGACCCGAAAGAGCGTAGCAAAATGTAAAAGCCCAGGAAGTCTGAATAACTAGCTGTAACTTTGAATGCACTCCCTGATGGACGCATAAATCTATGTAAAAAGAGTGGAAGCCTAATTGGTTTAAGGTGTTTGAGCATAACTTTTGCCAAAATCATTGCTGGACCAATAAAGAGGCTTTGCCAATGCAGGGGCAACTTCTTGTGAGCCAAATTTAAAAATTACTATTAGTATAAAAATCTGAGCAGAGAGATCAATGGCCTTGCACTGCAAAGGAGACATTCAATTTAAGCACAGAGAAGTTACTAAAATGAAACAAAATGAACCTAAATAAGACAGAATATAGAGTTGCAACATATATATATATATATATATATTCTATGCTCTGTCTATAAATATATATATATATATTTTTTAAATGTCCAGTTTTCAACAAAAACTTATGAGACATGGAGGAAGCAGGAATGTGTGACCCATAATCAGGAAAAAAGTAATTGCAGCTGAATCTGGGTGAACCCGGGTGTTGAACTTAAGAGACTTCAAAGAAGCTATTATTAGTCTACTCAAAGTATTAAAGCAAAATATGACAATGACTCAATAAGTAGGAAATGTTAACAGAGAAATGGAAAACTATAAAATGAAGCACATTTATATTTTAGAGTTGAAATATCAATAACAAAAATAAAAAATTTACTAGATGTTCTCAATAGCAAATTTGAGATGAATGAATAAAAAATTAGTGTATTTGAACATTGTTCAATATAAATTATCTAATGTTAAGGGAGAAAAAGGATTGAAGGAAATGAAAACAGCTTCAGAGCCATATAGGACAGTATCAAGTATGCTAACATACATGAAACAGGAGTAATAGAAAAAGAAGTGAAAGAGTAGGGGGATGGATCAAATATTTGAAGAAAGAATGGCCAAAAACCTCACATATTTGATTATTTAAAAACTTTCTTAAAATTAATCTACATATCCAAGAACTTTAACAAAACTCGAATAGGACAAACTCAAAGAGACACCCATGTAGATACATCATAATCAAACTTCTGAAAGCCAAAAAGAAAGAGTAAATTATAAAAGTAGAATTGAAAGGAGCAAAAACCAACCAACCAACCAAACAAAAACAAAAGCTCACCCCATTCAGCAGACTAATAATATAACTAGTGGCTCATTTTAATCAGAAATAATGGAAGTCAAAATAGATATTCAAAATGCGAAAAGAAAGAGAAACAATCCACTCTGAAATCTATATCCAGTGAAATTATCCTTTAAAATTAAAAATGAAAAAATCTGAAAGAATTCATTGCAAGTAGATTTGTCTTACATGAAACACTAAAGTTCTTCAGGCTGAAAAGAAATGACAACAAACAGTAACTCCAAATCATGGGATAAAATAAAGAGCACAACAAATGGTGAATACATGAGTAAATATGAAAAATTATATGTGTAGTCTTTATATGTGAGTAAATAAAAACCATACATATATTTATTTTTCTTTTCTCTTAATTTCATTAAAGAACATGAAATTCTTTAAATCAGGGGTCCTTAGCCCCTGGGCCATGGACTGGTACTGGTCTGTGGCCTGTTAATGAACCAGGCCACACAGCAGGGGGTGTGTGAGTAAGCAAAGCTTCATCCATATTTACAGCTACTCCCTGTCACTCACATTACCACCTGAGATCTGTGTCCTATCAAATCAGTGGCCGCATTAGGTTTTCACAGGAATGTGAACTCTATTGTGAATTGCACATGTGAGGGATCTGGGTTGTGTGCTCCTTATAAGAATCTAGTGCCTGATGATCTGTTGCTGTTTACCATCACCCCCAGACGGGACCATCTAGTTGCAGGAAGACAAGCTCGGGTCTCCCACTGATTCTACATTATGGTGAGTTGTATAATTATTTAATTATATATTACAATGTAACAATAATAGAAATAAAGTGCACAATAAATGTAATACGCTTGAATCATCCCCAAACCATCCCCCTCCACCTCAGTCTGTGGAAGTTGTCTTCCATGCTGGTCCCTAGCGTCAAGAAGTTGGGTACTGCTGCTTTAAATCCTTAATTTAACACTGAACTGTTGAGTTTAATACATATATTATTATATATGTGCACTTTATAGTTTGATATAGATGCAGTATATTTAAAATAATAATACAAAGTGGTTTAGAGGAGATATGGTGGAGCAAGTTGCAAAAAAAGAAAATAAGAGAAAAATAGACATAAGAATAGACACACAAATGCTTCTGACTTTGGAGTTAACCAACAAAGATTTAAAAGAACTCTTTTTCACATACTCAAGAAAACAGAGAAGAAAGGGAGGAAGTAGATCAAAAGGTGGACAAATTTATCAAAAATTAAAAATCTATCAAATGTGATCAATAACTTACAAATACAATATCAGAAATTAAGAACTAATTTGATGGGGTAAAAACTTATTGGACATCATAGAGATAGAGTTCATGATTGGAAGACAGGTCAATACCTAACTCAATCACAGAAGGGGAAAAGAAGTAGAAAATATAGAAGAAGGCATTAGAGATATATAAAAATGTGGATTTAGGTGTTTTTATTTTGCTCCAGAAAACTAACATTACAAATTTAAATGCTCATAAAAGAAAGAATGCAAATATCAGAAATCATGAGTGAATTCTTATATAATTTGGAAATGAAGAAACTTTTCTTGACCAAAACTTAAAATCAGGACCAATAAAGGAAAAGAGTAATAGATTTTATTTCATAAAAATAAGAAATATGCTGCATTGCAAACAATATGAGAAAGTAAGAATAAGTGACAAACTGGGAAAATATTTGCAACTTATATGACACAGGACTAATAGGTTTTATATATGGGACATTTTCAGTAGAATAAGAATAATAACCATAATGAATTGAAATTCACCAGTATGTTTAAGTTCATATGAATTCATGATACTTAACATAAAATACTTATGGGTCACTTTTTAAAAATACTAGTGAACCAACTCATTTGAAAACTCATGATTAAAGGGAAAGAATCAAGTATCTAGTCTGCTTTTCTGATACAAACTATATATCAAATAATAAGTTGATGACAGGAAGTTTTTCTTTATAGAAATACTTAAGCTAATAAATTAAGGAATGATAGAATATCACTAGTTGGCAAATCATAATGATTTAATGAATGCAGGGAATGCTCATCAGTGGCTCTTAACATCATGTAACAGAATTATGTGCTCTGATGTAACTATACATCATCTATCATGTAGTCTTGCCAAAAAACAAAAAGAAAACCTTAATGTGATCAAGTCTCTATCAAGAATGTAAGATAACTTAGAGTCTACAAGGCTAACTATAAGGTGAAAACATAGAGATACTATGGGACTATAAGAGCAAAATCCAGGCTGGACAAATCATCAAATTTATTCAACAAATATATGGCAAAGGAAAAATAACAAATGTAATATAGCTTTCAGATTAAAAGAGAATTTCCAAATAATCAAAATTTATCTAGTTTATCTGCATCCTAATTAAAAAAAACCCAAAATATAACATTATAAGGCTGATGGGATATTGAATAATATTAAATACTATTTTTTTTTTTTTTTTTAGTTTTGGTGATGGATTATGTCTTTTCTTTAAAACAACATCTTTATCTTTTAAAGATTCATACTAAAATAAACAAGATGTCTTGCATTTTCTCCAAAGTAATCTTGGAAGGCAGCAGTTGATAAGTGTTTAAATAAAAGAGATTGGCAATGAGTTGATAATCGCTGAAGTTGTATGTTCAGTATGTGGGAGCTTATTCTATATACTTTTCATAATTATTCTATGTGATTTTTGTATATTGTTTAGAGTTTTCCACAATTAAAGCTTTCAACATTGTTTCATGAATCACCTAAAACCGTCTCCAGTATTGTCAATTATGCATAACACATTCTAAGAAAAACCAAACAATCCCTTTCTTCCTTGATCCACTGCTGTTATTCTCTAACTCAGAGGACATGAAACTTGGCCTGTGGGCCAAATCTGGCTTGTTGCCTGTTTCTGTAAATAAAGTTGAATTAGAACATAGTCAGGCCCATTCGTTTACATATTCTCTGTTTTTTATGCTACAGTGGCAGAGTGGAGTGGTTATGACAGAGACTTTATGGACCACAAAGCCTAAAATATTTAATATCTGGACTATTTCAGTCTGTTTTGCGATGCTGCAAAAGAATATCTGAGATTAGATAACTTATTTAAAAACATATTTATTTATTTATCTCAGTTCTTGAGGCTGGAAAGTCCAAGATCAAAACATTGGCAGGTTTGGTGTCTGGTTAGAGGCGAGCGTTCTCTTTCAAGATGGCACTTTGAATGCTGCATCCTCGGAGGGAGGAATGCTGCTCCCCACATGGCAAAAGAGCAGAAGAGCCACAGAGAGACAAGAGGGGGCTAAACACACATTTTTATATTGCCACAAATCTTATCCAGAAGAGTGGAGCCCTTATGGCCTAATCACCTCTTAAAGGGTCCTGGGTCTAATATCCAGAGTCTACAAAGTAACTTAAACAAATTTATAAGAAAAGAAACAACTCCATTAAAAAGTGGCCACAGGACATGAATCAACACTTCTCAGAAGAAGACATGTATGCAACCAACAAACATGAAAAAAAGCTTAACATTACTGATCATTAGAGAAATGCAAATCGAAACCACAACGAGATACCATCTCACACCACTCAGAATGGCTGTTATTAAAAAGTCAAGAAAGAACAGATGCTGGTGAGGTTGCTGAGAAAAAGGAATGCTTTTACACTGCTGGTGGGAGTGTAAATTAGTTCAACCATTGTGGAAGACAGTATGGCCATTCTTCAAAGACCTAGAGGCAGAAATACCATTTGACCCAGCAATCCCATTTCTGGGTATATACCCAAAGGAATATAAATCATTCTGTTATAAATCATTCTGACCCATGATGGGGAACAACACACACTGGGGCCTGTCGGAAGATGTGGTGGGGTGAAGGAGAGCATCAGGAAGAAGAGCTAATGGATGGTGGGCTTAATACTTAGGTGATGGGATGATCTGTGCAGCAAACCACCATGGCACACATTTACCTATGTAACAAACCTGCACATCCTGCTCAGGTACCCCTGAACTTAAAATAAAATTTGAAAAAAAAGAAGGTCTCATCTCTTAATACTGTTACAATGACAATTAAATTTCAAAATGATATTGGAGGGGACAAATATTCAAAGCACAGCATGACCCTTCAGAGAAAAAGTTTGTCAACTTCTGCTCTGATGTCCCAATCACACTCCGTTATCTTTGAAACTGTTATTATGTAGATTGCAATCTTTTGCAGCTCCAAACCTGACATAACCTAGGTGCTTTCAGTGACCATGCAGATGACTTCTCCAATATCTGGACTCTCAGTTCTTCCCGCTGTCATCTTCATTAATTGTCTCCACTTAATTTTAGCCATCTACTCTCACAATCACATCTTGGATCTTGTTATCATGTAAAATTGCTCTATCTATAAAATCACAAATTCAAACCTACAAACATCTATTCTTCCAGCTTGTGCAACTAGTCCCATTTCAACTGTTCTCCAACCTCATTAGCTCTTTTAATGAGTTAATCACTCTACTTCTTTCCAAACTGTCAGCTTTATTTTTTCTTTATGTCTCTTATTATCAAGCTAAAGTTCTATAGTGCATTATGTCAATAATATTTTTGCTTATACCCCAAATCCTTTGCCCTTTTTTATCTTTTGGCAACAATCTAAAAGGGAATCCAAATGTGGCACTACATATTTTTAATGCCAGACTCAAGCAGCCAGTCACTGCTGGAGAAGGCCTGATGCAAATTGTTTTCACTACCATTTCATACCATACCCAAATGGATGTTCAACACAGACCAAAAATCCAAATGTGTTTAGTTAGTGAATTCATTTCGCTTCTATCCATAGCAGCTCTTTCAAACCTTTCTCAATCTTCTTTTCTGAAGCTTCCTTCCTCTCTCTAGCTGAAGATGGTTTTGTTTCTATTTTAAAGAAATAGAGACAGCACCTCCCTCATTATATGCACTCATCTTATTTTCCCTCCCTCCTGTTACAATAAAAAAAGAAAACCTTTTTTTATTGTTTTTTTTTTTTTTGTATTTTTTATTGTATTTTTTTTTTCAATATCAGGGTAGTCCTACTTGTGAGTATCATTGTCCCCATTTTCTTAGAAACCTTCATTTATTATTTTATCTTCCATACTGTGTATTTAACTACTCTTTTTAAACTAGATCCTGCCCATTAACTTTGAAGCACAGTCAAGTGTCTTTTATTAATTGAAACCGCCACCACCATCTCTACTGCAATATCAACAGAATCCCGCATTTGAACACCTCTACTCTTCCTGTTACTACTGGCAGATTTCTTGAAAGTCATATCAATGTGCTGTCCCCATTTCCTTGCCTCCCACTCATTCCTCTTCTCCCTCCAGCCTGACTTCCATTCCATAATGCCACTAAACAGTTCCTGTTAGGTGATAAAAAAGTTCATGTTTTAATATACAATCGAATAACTATTTTATCTTCTTAGAAACTTTATGATTGATGGCTATTCCTTTAACGTAATATGTTTCTAGGTTTTTGTGACCCAATTCACTCCTGATTTTACTTGTGCCTCTTTAATTGCTCTTCATTACCCTCTGAAGACTCATCTTTCTCCATCCGTCACCATGGACTCTGCTGAAGTGCCACATGACTTTTCTTGCTTGATTTTCTCTTCCTAGATGATTTCTTTCACTCCCAGAACTTTAGTTAGCACTTACACTCAGATGACTCAGCAGTCTGTATCTTCAGCTTAAACTTCTCTCCTAGATCAGAAATTGTATATCCAGATATTTAC